AAGACTACATAGTGAGACTGTGTATCAAAACCAAAAATGTGTAAGTAGGAAATGGAGAGTTCCATGCTGACTTTCAATTTTCTGTTTCCTGGCCTTAAACTTTATCACAAAGTTCTTGCTGTCCCTCTGTAATAAAATCAAAACATCAATTTGATTGATTTCCTAAGTTGCTAAAAGACTTCTAAAGCACTATCTTTAAGACCTGTTTAAAAAACTCGTCAATTTCCTTTTGTTCATATAGAAACCAAGGTCCTTGCCATGAAGACAATGGACTAAACCTCTGAAACTGTTACCAAGCCCCCAATTAAATGCTCTCTAAGGAAAAAAAAAGAAACCAAGGATGTGGTAGTTACAGTTGAGGGACGGGTCTCGGGGCTGGAGAGATGGCTTAGCAGTTAAGAGAACTGTCTACTCTTTCAGAGGACCAAGCTTTGATTCCTAGCACCCATCTGGCAGCTTACAACTCTCAGCAACTACCATCACAGGGGGATCCCATTCCTATTCTGGCCTTCTTGGGCACTTCATACACGTGGTGCATCATAGATATATATTCAGGCACACACTCATGCACATAAAATTGAAAATAGATAAAATCTTTTACAAAGTGTTTTTAAAATATGAAAAGCCTGGCTTATGCAATTTAAATACACAGTATCATCAGGCTTTCATCTAATACCAGATGAATTCACAGATAATAACTAGAGAAGCCTATGCTTCTCAAGCTGTCATGTGAATTCATGCCACCTGGCGATCTTGTGAAAATTCGGTTTCTGATTCTGTGGATTTTGGACCGGAGCTGGAAATCTGTACTTCTTCTAGAGGTTCTTAGATGGTGGCAGGACTTCTGGTCCATGGACCACACTTGAAGAGAATATGCATCTGAAATTTCAGATGTTTCCAGTGAGCTTTGATAGTGCCCGAGGACTGAAGTCTCTGTGTGTGCCTTAGATTCAGGCATCATTGTTCGACCTATACTGGGAGGTAGCGGAGTTGATGTGTTTATGTGGAGGATGGCAGCGTAAATAGAGAAAGCACTGGCTTTATATCCATGCTCTTCCAGTTAGGGTTGCTACGGGGAGGGGAGACGACAAGCCTCTAAAATAACTCAAGTTGGGAGGATGGATGAGAGTGTGTGCTGTATAAAAACTTGGCAGGAAGCCCGAAAGGGGATTTCCTTAAACTGTCCTGAGTTAAGAGTTATAGGGACCAGCTACCCAAGTTCCTTTCCACACAATTGTTTCTGCCCTAGCCTCCTTTCACTCTCAGTTTGGGGTGGCTTCCACAGTCTTTCTCCCCCATAGCTCCTGCATGTTTCTAAGTCTCAGCTGCACATGGGTCCATCCCTACCGTAACCTGACCTGCTGTCAGCATCAACTGTCATTGCTGACAGCTTCATTTCTTTCAGAATATGCATTTCAAATTGTTGAGAAGAGAAATTTAATAGCATAGGATGCCTTTGTACACTGATAGACCTTGAATTTCACTGCTGCTATCTGAAAATCCAATTACTGCAAATGGGGGAAGGGCCAATGGTATTTGATGCCCAGACAAAAAAATACAGCTAGCAAAGATTGCTCTTTCATAGGGGCTGTGTGCCAGTACAGAGTCTGTGGCGTGGGGCAAGCATCTTGCAGCCTACTCCATTTTATTCATTTCCTTAATGAAGGTCATCTCTGTATGGATGTGGTTCAGTCACAGCCTTCAGGCAGGACCAAGAAACATACCATTTGTTTAATTGCTCTTTCATCTCTTCATACTAGAGGCCAACCTAATAAGAATATGTTACAGGGTCAGTGAAGGGAATCAGTTAACTAATGAAACTGTTTAAAGCAAACCACCGCAGACCTGCTTCAGCATTTTTGAGATATCTTTATTTTAATTCAGCATAAGCAAAGGAGGTTGAAAAAAAAACACCAATTAATCCAAAGTATCAATACAGCATTAAGCCTTCAGTGTTAAGAATACAGGAGACGGTATCAGGCTTCTTGTAGGAACGATCTGATCAGCGGACAGGGAGCTCCTCTGTAGCTTTCTGTCCCTTCCACCTGGAACGACTGCTTTCTCATTCCTGGCTATCTGAGTGTACCCCGGAGACATATCCTCAAAGGGAGTGCTCATTCGCCTTCCTGAGTGCTTGAGCAGGAAATGAAGAGATGTTTGAGAAAGTAGACAGCAGAGGGACCCAAACTCAGCCCTTACCCCTAAGACTCATGCCCCAATACTTTGCTTCTGTGTTGTTTGTTGGTGGGGGAGGGGCACGTTCTTTCTCAGTATTTCTTCCCACACACAGACTTTTAGGGAGAACTATTTTCAGTTTTTATTTGCTGATCAATAAACTCAAGGGTAGGTCTTGTCTGTTCTCAGAGATAAAGAACTGCAGGCATAACTACTCTCTATCCAGCTGAGCAAGCACCGGTGTTCGCTTTGTTTTTCACGGTGTTTCTGTGAGATAAGAAGAAACCGCCCAGACATGATGCATGACCAGGCAAGGTTTTGAGAGAATATTTTATAAATTCATTTTCTATTTTGAATGGTAGGATGAAAAGAATGGGGAGGGTACCACACACAGGACAAGCTGATTTTTTTTTCTGGCTTCAAAATAAATAGGAGAATAAGAATACATGTGCAGCTGAGGAAAGAGACAGTTTTTAGTTCTGAATATGAAAAGCAAATAGAAAAATTGTAGTAATTTAGTAATTTGGTGACCATTTTCTACCACAAAAATTCTCTGTCACATGAACTCAGAATCAATATAGGACAGATAAGACCTGTGGATAGCCAAGGAGCAAGATATATTCCTAGGAAAATAAAAGGTGAATGGAACCAGATTAGAATTGTATTAGATCCAAACCCTCCAAGGATCTTAGCAATTTTCTGATGGAGGAGCTGTTTTGAGATTAATGATGTAAGACTTTAAACAGTAAGATTCAGTATAAAATTAGTTGCTTTTACTAAAGAAAAGAGAGTGTTTTCATATGGCAGGTAAATTTGGGGGCCAACAACTTACATAAGTTGAGTCAGAAAATCATTTAGGAGAAATATGCCACTGGGCTAAGGAAAGACCCGAGTTTGGCTGGATGTGACACTGGCGGTACATAGGACGATGGGGATTTCAGAGCTAGAAAGAAAAAAGAGATAAACTCAAGAGACAAAGACAGGTAGTTAGTAAAATGAAAATTGAAATTGAAAGCCATGATGCAAATGTTTCTGAGCAAGTGGAACTGAGGATAGAGTAAAATCTTAGGGAAGCTGAGCAGTACTTCATCGTCCATGTTTCTTTCCATCTCTAGGTTCATGAATCCAACAAACTGTTGTCTCTCATCTCCATCAGCAGATAGTAAATTCCCCATAGGGCAAAACGTAGTCCATACTTTCAAGAATCTCCCTAGGAGATCAAATGAGGGACTTACTAGAATAGAAACTCAATAAATAATAATTGGTAAATTAATGAATAGATAGTTCCCTTTTTCTTGAATACATTTTGAAATGTGGTATCAGTATAGAGGCCAGGCAGATCTAGAACTTGAGATTAGCCTCCCAAGCACTTGGATTACAGGATGTGTGCCATACTCAGTAACGGATCCTTCTTTAAGTAATCATCTTGTTAAGTAAGTCCTAGATTTGAGGAACCCAGAAAATGGATTGTACTTTATTTTCCAAATATTGGTTAAAACAGGGAATTTATAGCTTAGATCATTATTGTTTTACTTAAAACAGTAATTCGTTGGTCTAATGACAGATATAGATAAGTGAGACCTGTGGTCTTAGGAGAGAGGCCTAGATTCAGTGATGTTTTTCTTGCTCCTAGAGTCAATCAGGCTGGACTGTAGATAGCTTTTTCCAGGTCAGCCTGACCAGTACTTTTCTATTACTATTTGCCTTTTTGGGAAGCTTGGTGTCCTCAGAGCAAGTCAATGTCTATTATGTTCACTGTCCTAGCGCCAGCACCTACAATAAGCTTTTAAGAAATGGAACACACGCTTAAGAAATGATCGTGAAAAGAAGGGAAAGGGAAGAAAGCAAGAATAGGGGTAAAGGAAGGAGGTCTCTGCTTTTTATACTTCACTGAAAACTTAAGTCATCTGTTATCAAAGTTTTCTCTTCCCCCAACCTCAATTTTTGTGTTAGTCGCCAGAGATTCAAACTGATGAAACTTAATTAAACTGATGCTCTTAAGGAACTGATAGTCTGGTGAGATACAGAACTAAGACAGCAAGAAGGGAAGTGTTTCATCATAACAGGAAGCCCGATAATAGAGTAAACAAACCAAAGGAAGCATCCAGTTGGCCCCTGAGGGGATACAGGTCACTGAGCATAGTGCAAACCAGAGGAGAATACTAACAAACTCCTTTGTGCTTTGGAGGCTTGACAGAATCTCTCTTCATAATCCTAAAACTGATTATACACAGATTGAGCAAAATGTGACAGACTACAAGTCCTTGGATTTCAGACTTTCTCAATTCAGAATTATTTTAGTGATTAAGTGATTTTTTGTCTTGGCACAACTGGACGTTGCTTTCATTCTGGGAATGCAAGTGGCTGCTCTAAATTTGTCACGCAGTGGCTTGTTGTAGAGACATGGCTTTATAAGCACAGCCTAAATGCCTCCAATTAAAGGCCTGATGTCTGGACAGACCTGTATGTAGCATGTGCTGTGTCAGGAGTAGTGGCTTTGTTAAGCACCATCCATTAGCATCAGCGTTTGTTCTTTCCTGACGAAATTCTTGTCCCCATGACAAGGATTAATGATAGAACATGTATATGGTGGTCTTTGTATTTTATAACAACCTATCATGGCAAAAGTGTCTATTTTAAATGTTCTGAAGCGGGTAGATAAACTTGAATCAAAGAAGGAGAACCAGTGGCAGAATAAAAAGGAAGTTTAGTTGGCTAAATTTTTGCATATAGGTTAGCCTTTTTAAGCCCTCTGATTTAATGTTTGAGGGGCCAGAGATAGAGGTCCTGCTTTGACTTTGGCTTTTTGATCTTTCTTTATTCAGGTATTGACCCCAGCACAAATTAAATCAATATGCCAGGCAATTTTGGACTCTGGGAAGCAGTACGCCCTGAAGAAGAGAAAGCCGTTCCCCCTGATGTATTCTTACTATGGAACTGAATACTTGGGTGAGTGGCACATGCCTATAGACTGGAGAGTCTCTGCTGGTAACACTGAATAAAGAACAAATGCTTTCAGTTTTGCTATGGAACAGTGATTCTCAACCTGTAGGTCATAACCTCTTTTGGCGGTCTACTGACCCTTTCACAGGGGTCGCATAGCAAATATCCTGCATACCAAATATTTATAATGTGATTCACAACAGTAGCAAAATCACAGTTATGATGTGGCAACGAAAATAATTTTATGGGGGAGGGTCACCACAACATGAGGAACTATAGTAAAGGGTCGCAGCATGAGAGAGGTTGAGAACCAGTGCTGTAGACTGTCATTATTCATGAACAAGAAATACTTTAAAGCATTTGAAAACAAAAATTTAGGTAAAATTGAACACCTTTTCAAAGTGTGAATGACGGTAATATAAGTATTTTAATATTTATGTTTACTAAAGGTGAAAACCTTTATTATCACCCACTTATTTCTTTGAGATAGAAGTCTCAATACATTGCTTAAGCTGCCCTTGAAGTATTGGATTCAAACAAATACCCTACATCAGCTTCCCGGGGGACTGGGACTATGGGCATATATCATCATACATGGTTTAACTTTGTTGAAACATGATGAACAATTATTACACTGATTCTAAGTACTGTTTTGAATAGGGGAATAAGATCAATTCAGTAAGCTTTTAGTGATAGCAGATTCATAACAGGTAACTGAACTACTAATTTTGAGCTCCGATTCATGTAAGGAAAAGATGAGACCCCACCCCCACCCCCAGTTTGAGTCCTTACAATCCTGAGCAAGACTTGTAAGCCATACTTAAATGGTGTTGTGTCACAAAGTGAACTCTTATCTTTAAATTATTTTTTATGTTCCTTTTACCTGGAATGTTTTACTTCCCAGAAGCCCTTCATCCGCTTCTAATACCCAGACTTCCAAACTTTGTGCAACCCTTATGAGATCTACTGAGACACATTCTGTGTCTTAGGGAAAAAGGTAGCTGAAGCCTATCTTGAGAATCATTAACATGTTTCATGTATTTTCCCCTGAAGCAAATAGGGTGACATCATGGTATCATGCCCACACTGTTAATGGAGTCCTCACTGTAACTTATTATAATTTGTGACTCACTTGTTCAACTGCCCTGTCAGGTTTTATGCACATTCAGGCTAGGGATTCATTCATTTAGCTCTCTGATCCTTGGCCCTTTGCCACAGAGGCTGCATTTAATGAGGCTATCCGAAAGAATGGCTGAATGGCTAATGAGCAACATTAGTGCGAGTTTTTTCAAAGAAGTCTTGCATTCTTTTCTAAGTCTTTGTAGGATCAGACCTTGAAACAGGATTTGAGTATAAAAATCTTATTTGAAATGTGATCCTAGAAAGCATTGCTAGGGGAGTGGAGAAATGAGACAAGGTAGAGGGAGAACTTCATTGTGATATAATGAGCAGTTCTAGATAGCACAGGCTCTGTGTTAGACTTCTGAGCTGCTTTGACAAAATGCCTACTGTAGCAACTTAAAGGAGGAGACATTTTTAGGCGCATGGTTTCAGAAGGTCCATTCCATTGTCACTTGCCGGAACTCATTCTGGGCCCATAATAGGGAAGAACATCGTGGGAGCAAAAGCATATAGCAGCAGTTACTCCTCTTGCGCTAGATGAAAATCAGGGAGAGGGAAGGGCATGAAGACCATCAAAGATATATACTAAGCAATGTGCTTCTTCTAGATAAGCTTCATATTCCAACAGTTCTACAGTATTCCAAAATAGCACCACTCACTGAAGCACAAACATTTACTGTATGGCAAATATTTCATATTCAAACTGGAATAGGCTCAGTTTCCCTGGAGACTCTTAGAGGACATATAGGACATGCCTCAGAATCGTCTTACCCAGACTGAGTCCAGATATTTATCTATGCATTTCCTGCTGTATTGATTGGCTGCTCCAGGGCTGTTAATTCTGTATGTGTTGAGCATATTCCTGTGGCCAGAGAAAAACTCAGGCAAAATAAGAACTATTTAAGGTAGGGAGTTTGGAGAGCATAGATGTGCCTGAGTGTAAAGTTTGTCAGCATACTAGCAGTGTCTTTTACACTTCTTTCATTAATAGTATTTTTAAAGAGAAATTGACATTCTGGCCATTGATATACATACTACACACCACATTTCTGATAAATATGTAAATACTTTCCTGAAAACTCAAGCTTCCTTTTAATAATTATTACCATATATACTATGCAATATGTTTTAATGTAAGACTAAACAGTATGCATCATATATGTTCTAAGCTGTATATGTTATATAATATGTGAATATTTGCATGGATATTGTTTATTTGTGTAAATAATGAAGCACTAATAAAGGAACTGGATTAAAGGATTATAAGGCTGAAAAATCAAGACCTAAAAAGGTCAATATTGTAAGTTTCAGGCTGCGTCTAAGTCCCCAGGGAGAAGGCAAATGCCTAAGCTGGAGAATTATTTCTTAGTGTTTTTGTTCCATCCAGGCCTTGATGAGTGGGTGAGGACTACATACATGGCAAGGGCAATCTTCTTTAATCATTTTATAGGTTCAACTTTTTTTTTCAAGGCAGGGTTTCTCTGTGTCACAGCCCTGGCTGTCCTGGAACTCTTTTTGTAGACCAGGCTGGCCTTGAACTCACTGAGACCTGCCTGCCTCTGCCTCCCGACAACTGGAATTAAAGGCGTGCGCCACCGCCACCGCTTCCCGATGCCAGGTTCAACTTCCACAAGCACTCAAAATGACGTACTTAGAAATATTGTTCAACAAAATCTCTGGGCACCACTATTTTGCCCGGTTCAGTTGCCACATAGACTCACTTATGCTCCTCCTGCAATCTATTATATAGAGTACTTCACTTATATTCTAAGAGTTTTTAAAATATGACTCACTTTCTGAACTGAATGGGGAGTATACAAGAGTATAGGCAAACTCATATTCATCTTTTTTTTTCTCCATAGTGAGATGATGTCCAAAACACAAGTATTAATTGTGAAGACTTGAGTGAATTTATGCCAAGAGAAAGGGCTTCTTTTTTTCTTTTGTTTACTCATCTGTCTTTAGCACCTAAAGCATCTGGTGCATAGTAGATGCTTAATACTTATATTTTAAATAGATTGATGGCTTGTTAAGATATCTAGACCAAATTGATCTCAAGCATTTTGGGAATATTTTTATAAGATCAAATTTTCTATAACGAGCTTAACAGTTTTAGTTAGGGTTTGTGGACCATGTGGTTTCCGTCACAAATTCAAGTCTGCTGTATGATGCGAAGGAAGCAGAGAACAATGTGCAAATGGCTATGTTCCAATAAAGCATTCTTTACAAAAGTAATATGTGAGCCAGATTTGGGCTGCAAACTATATTTTTCCTGCTGGTTTAGGTTTTAGCAACTCAATTGTTATAGTACTATATGTGCTTTTAAATAATATTTTAATGTGAAACAAATCTCACAATTTTCTTTTCACTAGATCAAACTACCTTGCCTCGCTTGATGGATAAATGGTGCTTGCTTTGTCCACACAGGGGCAGCTCATGGCCTGTCGTCCATTCTGCAGATGCTTCTTTCTTACCACGAGCATCTCAAGCCTGCAGATCGGGAGCTGGTGTGGCAGAGTGTGGACTTCCTCATGGAACAGGAACAGAATTGCAACTGGCCACCTGAGCTGGGAGAGACGATCGAGAGAGAGAATGAACTGGTCCACTGGTGCCACGGTGCCCCAGGTCTCGCATACACTATTATCTGGAAACAGAAACAGGGCCGCCTTTCACTAAGCTTACACAAAGGGAGGTTCATTTTTCTGACGTCTGAGGGTATTTCTCATTCTGGGCCATAGCTATCAAGCTGAAATTTTTGACAACTAAAAAAATATCTTGATCTTTAAAGGACTTCTGAAAATCATTCCACGGGTTGAAAAAAAATTTCTCTATCCACAGTGTTAAACAAGCACTCTCTCAAAATGTAATGTGACTCACATATGTAGTCCAAACTTTTAGGGTATTTGAGTGGTAGAGTGAGTGATGAGTATGTTCAGAGTTCTGGGTTTGAGTCCCAGAATATATGCACAAAAAGAATCAGTAGCTCCATGTTCAAAAACAAAAAGAAATAGGAAGAATTAATTTTAATAATATGTAACCCAAATATTATTTCAGTATGATACTAATTTAAAAATAGATATGACTAGGCTAGGGACTGAAGGCACTGCTGGTAGAACCCTTGCCTGGAATGCAGAGGACCTGGGTTCAACCCAGAGCACTAAAAATAGTGTTAGTGTACATTCTTTCAGACATTGAAATCCTAAAAATTTCCTGCTGATTTTAAAGTTACATAACATTATAATCAAATGCTACATTTTAGAGTCTTTTTAGCTACATTGGAAAATGCACATCCGCAGCCTGATCACTTATATGGTGGCCTCTGTCATGCCTAGAAGCCTGACAACTTGTGAATCTCTAATCCCAGGCTCCATCACAGCCCAGTGAATCACAGTGTATATTTGACCAGTATCCTTATGAAACTTGTATTAATCCTTAAGTTTCAGATGCATGGCTTTGAAATTCTTGGTCAACTGAGTATTTCCAGTAATAATTAGTAAAATGTCTAATGAAATAACAACCCATCCCCCAGTGAATTCTGAAATCGAGCCTTTAAACCAGACAAACTTCACTATTCTATCCCACGTTTTACAAATCCCATTATACAACGAACTAACCTTTTGGAGAAGGAATAATTTAAAAGAAGTTAAATTCAAACAAATAAATTCAGTTAATTGGCAAGGAGACTGAAATTATCAAATAATAGTTATTAAATTTGTTTTTTGACAATTGCATGTGTATATAATGTTTTATAATTTTATAATATTTTGATTATGAATGAATTTAGTTTACCAGGCTGTGCTTCAAACAGAAGAGCACAACTTTAGATTGCATTTGATTTATCTTTGTCTTGTTACCTGATTTTTATTGCCTCCCTTCTCCCTTTAATTAATGTTCTTTAATTAAATCAGAGTTCTGTTTTTTCCTTGATACTGTTTGAATAATATAAGTCACTGTCTATTGTCATATTTTCTTTGCCTGCCACATTTAACTATGGAAGGAATGGCAAATTGTGTATTTTAAAAGTACCAGGACATAGTACATTATGTTCGGGCTAGCTGCTGCCAGGTATAATTTGTGCCGATTACTTCTTGCTTTGACATTTTTGGGGAGAAAAAAACACAGCAGTTAAATACCATCCTGGAAATCATGTTTATTGTTATACTCAATGCTTCTATTTCTTCTTCCTCTTAATCAATCTCAGCGGTGGTCTCTGGATATTCTCCAAGAATCCCAGGATTCCTAAATTCTGGAGATGTCCCAAATTAAATATAGGCTATTTTAAAAGGACTCAATATGCTAGTAAAAGCCCTTAATAGAGTAGAAAGAAATCTACTAAAATGAGTGGGTGAGCTTGTTGAAGTGGATGTTTAAATGACTGTTATTGTACCCTTTCTGTATACCAAATGCCATCTGTTTCAGCAAGGCATGGATAGAACTCATGACATTGGAGACTTTACCTTCCTGTAACATTCATTCTAAGTGTTTTAAGAAGAGTAACATAAATATATTGCTTCAAATCAAAAATAAGTCCATGTAGTCACCAGAGTATGAAAAAGAAACTGATTCACTAATGAAATAAGGTCATTATTTCTGCTTACCTCAGCCCTCACCTAAGAGTGATTATAAAACTGATAATTGCAGATCAAAGACGGTCAAGATCTCACTGAAGCTGACTACAATCAATTTCTCTCCAAATTCAACAGGAAATGGCCTAGAAAATAATTTTATTTGTTTGAGAAAAATTTTGAGAATAGATTTATGAGCAGCACAGATGGTTTGGGACGACAGACCATTCCTGTGGTTAAAAATCTGCCAGAGATAATCTACAGTGTGGAACTTCATTAATCCTACCTTACCCACACCTTAGCTTCCTATGGGCTTTCTTTCAGCTTCACCTCTACTAGATATTAGGTATGAAATGCATAACTAGTTCTTGACTATAGATTAACAACTCTGGGGGCTAATTGTAACTTTAACAGTTACAGTTAAGTAACTCTAACAGTTAAGTGACCTTGAGAAAAATCTCTTTTTTTAAAAAAAAATCTGAAATGAGCATGCTGAAGTGAGGTAGTGAATCTCAGGGTTTTTGTCACCATTGAGACATTTTCACATCTGGACCTTTGCCATTCCTAAGGGAAGTATCTCTGACGTTTTTTATAAATACCTACAGTGACATGTAGCTTTGTCTCCTTAAATACAATAAAGTACTGCAGGAAGACTCATGTGATCCCTTCATAACCTTGATCACTCTGAAATACAGGATGGAAGTCATTTGCAGAATCATTAAAATAAATGCTGTGGCTAATATAACCTCCCTGGCTGCATCAGGTTACAGCATTACTTTGGTAACACTGACAGTGCACTTCCTTTAATTCTGTGTGAAACACAGGTGTGAGCAGTTTTGAAATTTCATTTCACAAAGGCTCTTGGGTAGGTGACTTTGAATAAAGAGCAAAGCTCCTGGAGTACAGATTGGTAGCTAAGTTTTGTAATGACTCAGCAGAATTACACATCCTAGCATGAACCTGGGTGATGATGCTCCAGTATGTTGAAGTAGTGTATTCTATCTGTCACAAGTCTCTGAAGACCCCACATTTCAAGGATTTAGTCTCCCAAAACCATCTTTATTAAGTCGTGATTTAATTTCCTGGTTGTATTTGGCAAAGTCATCTACCGTCACTGACTTCCGTTTCATATCATTGAAAACTAATTAGTGGCCGCAGGAAAAAGTTGTGCTAGTTCCCATCACAGTCAAAGAAACGTGACATCCTTTCCTTTAAGAATCAGACGACGTTAGGATGGTTTCCATTAGGTCAGAGTAGGTGCTAACAAATTTAGAACATGTTCAAGGCCCTACTCTGTCCAGAACCCTAGGATCCATAGCTTTTTAACTGTCTGGGGCTAATGCTTGATATAGCAATTAAAATCATCTCAGTCTGTCTTCTTTTCTACACCTCTGCTCTACTTCTAGTGCCAGCTTCCACTAAGGCAGTGGTGCTCAACCTTTCTAAAGCTACAACCGTTTATACAGTTTCGCACGTTGTGGTGACCCCTCCTAAAGCTTTAATACAGTTTAAATTTAATACAGTTTAATACAGTTTAATACCCTTTAATACAGTTTCTCATGTTGTGGTAACTCCAAGCATAAAATTATTCTCATTGCTACTTCATATCTGTCATTTTGCTACTGTTATGAGTAGTTATACCAATATCTGATATGCAGGGTATCTGATATGTGATCCCTGTGAAAGGGTTTGAGGCTCACAGTTTGAGAACCACCAGGTGCTAGGGTGCTAAATGAGGTATTTATTATAGGGACAACAGACATTTGTGGAATTATTTGGCGGCAAAACACCACACAACAGATGAGGAGAAAAGAAAAGGAATATGATAAAATTCCTGCCCTTTAGTGCTTTGCCTTAGAGTAGGGGAGGCAGACATGGAAACAGATAGTTTTGATTTGGTTATGTATAAGTTCTACATTATATATAGTGTGAGATAGGATCCAAGAAAAGAGATTTCTCATGCTGCCTCCAGATTCAGTGAAGGCTTCCTAAAGAAAGTGATTTCTGAGTTGAGTTGTGCCAAGAAAAACAGGCTTCTTCCAAGAATAACAGGCACTCAGTAGCGTTGGAACACTGCAGGTAGTCTGGTTTTATGGAAGTCAGAAACTTCAGTCCAAGAATGAAGAAGCAGCTAGCAGACAGAGCAGGATGTTGATCATGAAGGGCTTTCTGTATCATGCTATGGTGCCTGTATAATAGGGAACCCTTTGGCTTTTCCTTGGCTAAAACACTTTCCACCGAACACACTCTTTTCTGTGTATCTGGAAGCAGGCCGTACTCTCGAGGGAAACCTACTAGGCCAAGGGTTGTAGGACAAAGAAGCTAAGAAAGCCAGAGAAATGGCTTTCATGGAGACTAGCTTTACTCTGTCTGATTCTGAGGGATGCTAATAAGCACAAGATCCACTGAAAGTTTGGTTCTGTCTTGAGGCAAGGGAGTAGGCTTTTGTATTCCATGATAGCTCCAGAGGGCTGAGTACTTGATACAATTTTCTGTTTGCCTGTGGGACAATCTCCAAAGGCAGGAATCCAGGACATATGTTAGCAGCCAGCTGTTAAATTCAGGCGTGGCCTGCTTCCTGATAAGATAAAGGGAAGCTGAGTCAGTTATCTCATTGATTCCTGCTCATCCTTCAGTGCTCAATTAGAAGATGATAGTCTAGTAGGCCTTTCCCACCAGCAGGGACTCTCCTGTTTGTTCCCGTAACTATATTTGTAGTTACATAGCCTAGTTCGCACCTCCAGATTAAGCTACAAAAGCCATTAAAGACAGAGGCCTTTTTTATTGATTTTATTGAGCTGTACATTTTCTCTGCTCCCTTCCCTGCCTCTCTCCTCCCTTTCTACCCTCTCCCATGGTCCCCATGCTCCCAATTTACTGAGGAGACTTTTATGATTTTTTTTTTTTAAAAAAAATGCTGCAAGATCCCCGGCAGCAGTAGGCAGCAGAAATGCTGTAGGTCCCAAATGATGGTAGTGGGCCATGTGGCGGCAGGCAGCGGGCCCTAGGAGCAGCCAGTCCCAGAGTGGTGGCTGGACCCAGGCAGGGAGACACATGGCGGGCGGGCAGGAGACAGAGACATGGATAGACACGACAAACAGAGTGAGGTTGATTATTTATTCAGGGGGTTATGGAGGGGGAAAGGAGAAGGGGGAGCAGAGAAAGAGAGAGAGAGAGAGAAGAGAAGAGAAGAGAAGAGAAGAGAAGAGAAGAGAAGAGAAG